CTGCAGCTGGATCAGGTCCTGTCTTATCTCTATCTCTATCTCATCTCTATCTCTATCTCTGTCTCATCTCTATCTCTATGTCTATCTCTATCTCTATCTATCTCTACATCTCTATCTCATCTCGTCTCAGGGACACCCGATTCAGTCAGAGGTGTGGCCAGCCTTGAGTTGGAGGCCTGGGAGGGGGACCCTATTTGTCTCCCCATCTCCCTCCTTTCCTTTTTGTCCTCCAACACGGTGAGAAAGAGCAGGAATGCTATTTTTGGAGAATGGATAAATCGTGTTTTATCTCCTTTCAAAAGGAGCACGTGGCTGAGCCAGGCCTGTGGGCCCCGGCCCTCCTGTGGTCTCTCCTTTGGTTTCCTCTGCGTCTTCGACGAGTCCTGCAGGGTCCTGTGAGACACCTCTCGAGCGCTGGCGTCACTGCGCCTGGGTGACCTCCAGCTCCTGCTGTCACTGGCTCAGGCGGAAGGCTCAGCCCCCCAGCCCAGGGCTGCCCGTCATCTTGTCAGTGCTGAGGGTGGCCTCCTCGCACCATGCGTTTATTTTTACACGCCGTTCCCACGGCAGCACACATGTGCCCTCGGCACGCAGGCAGCAAAGTGACAGGCAACCAAAAAAGGGTAGGAGGCAGAGGCCAGGAATACCAAATCCGTGACAGCTCCCCTCAAGGAAAAAGCAGCTGGCTCCAGTGTCTTGATAAATCATGTTTTATCTCCTTTCCAAAGGAACGCGTGGCGGAGCCAGTTTATCTTGATGACATCGTCCCGTCTGCACAGTGTCATCCTTCTGACAGGAGATGGCCCCTCTGCCTGGCTTCAGGGAGAGTGGGAGGGAGAGGCTGGGAGAGGAAAGTGAGTGGACCAGCAAGTACGTACGGGGCGGCTGCTCTACGCAGACCTTGTGCCCAGTGGAGCGTGTGGCACGTGGGGAGGCAGGCGCTGCAGACCATGGGCTCTGGGTCACGCCGTCTGTGCAGAGATGAGAGGCACGGATGGAAAGAAGCCACACTCCACGTGATGAGTTAGGTGTCCCACTGTCTGACTGGAGCAGGGCTGGTGACCAGGACCTGTGGTGACGGGGAAGTCGGATGCTGAAGCAGCTGCTTTCAGTGCCCCCAGGTCCCCTCACCATTCACCTGCCACAAGCTTCTGGGGGGCACACCTGGGGCTTTGTTCTGGCCCCGGGAGCACCCTCGGCCAGAAGCACCCGAGTTAATGCTCTCAGAAGCTCGACACAAGCAGGGAGTTGGTGATACATACCCAAGGCTCCTCGCCCTCGGTCGGGGTGCCTCTGAGCTGTGTTCTGCATCATCTCCCAGAGTCCCCAGCAGAACTGAGCTCTGCTGCCACAGTGATTAACTGACCTGATCATACTTCCCGCTCCTCTACTGATATTTTCCAGCATCACCTCCCAAATAAACAACGTGCACTCAACTCCTTGTCTCTGGGTCTGCTTCTGGGGAAACAGCCTAAACCAAGGCCATGGTAGTACTTGACTTGACCGTGACTGAGGAAGCGTAAGTGGATGAACATGCAGTCTACATATTTGTTCACAGGCAATGGGGATCACCTCAGTGAGGACCCCTTTAATGCAAATTATGAAAATCCATCTCCAACTAGTTTAAATTAAAAATAATTTTATTGTTTTATGCAAGTGAAAAGTACCCGGTAGACTCTGCATTCAGGAAAAGCTACATCCAGCTGCTCAAATGACATCAAAGGAATCAGCCCTTCACCGTCTCTTGACTCTGCTGTTTAATCATTCAAGAAACATTTATATTGAGCACCTACCTAGTGCTGGACACAGCTCTTTTGTCTCAGTCTGTTTCCTTCTCAGACAATAATGAAGATAGCCACTAAAAGTTCCAGGCTTTCATCCTGGAGCTTAGCAACTGTGGGAGAAAGGAGGTGCCAGCTGAAGTCTCAATGGGAGTCTGAAGCCTCATTGGCCTAGATCGGGTCTCTGCCCATCTCTGGTTGGCTAGGCTGGGTCATGTGCCTACCCTTGTTGCCAGGGGGTGTGGTTAGCTCCATCTGAACCACAAGGACTGGGATGGAGGAGGGGACTTCTGCAGAGGGAAATCGGGCTGACTTGGACAACAGATGCCTGTTACAGCTACGGGGTGAGCACTTCACCATGTGCCGGGCTCTCTGGGCCCTGAGATGAGTCAGATGGGCCCCTGGTGAAAGGAGGCGCTCAGATATCTGTAATACACAGCAGGATGTGGAGAGCACCTTAGGAACAGACAAAGCGTATGGATGTTCTGCAAAGAGGGAGGTTACTCCCAGCTCAGCCAGTCAAGGAAGGCCTTCTGAGAGGGGGCATTGCCCTAGACCTTGACAGCCACTGGGCACAGAAATGCCAGCTGTGTTAGGCCTTGAATGTCAGACCAAGGTGTTCAGATTCTAAATTTAACCAACTGTAAAAGGACTATGCATTGATCTATTTGTTGTAATTGAATTTGGCCATCTCGGAAGAGCCTGCTGGGAAGGTTTGAGGGGCTGGCATTTCCTATAAGCTTTGCCTATTCTTGTAGAGGGGCAGACCAGCCCCGCTGCACCCCTACAGCTGGAGGCTGTGTGTACAGAGAGGCTGGAGAACAGTCAGGCTGGGGCAGTGGCTCTCCCCTTGGCATTGATTTGTGCCCGCCCTGGAAATAGCCACCCACCTAAGCTAAGAATAGGAATTCCTGCCCAGCTAGTAGGAGTGAATGCTGATTTCTCAAGGAGGGATGGGCCTGAAAACAAAACAGCGTGTGGGTTGGGCCATCCTTTGTATTCGTTTGCGAGGTCACTTGGGAGCCGCGCCCACATTGGGGCATGGATCCTGCCATTAGACTAGACAAGGTGACGTGACCAAGATGGCAGCCTCCAGGGCTCCTCAGCTGCCGGAGAAGTCCTGGGCCCTCAGCCTTGGGTCCCTCCTGCCCTCTGGGAGAGGTGACCACTCCTCCTTGTTTCCTTGACAACAGGCAGGGATGGTGGCAGGTGGTGGGCAGCTAAGATGCTGAGAAGCCAAGGGAGAGGAGAATGAGCAGGTAGGGTCCCTGGTCACTATGGCAGCTTTACTGGAATCACCGGCTCATGAACGTCTCTCTTCCAGGCAAGATCCTCTTCCGGAGAAGCCACATCCGGGATGTAGCTGTGAAAAGGCTGAAGCCCATCGACGAGTACTGCCGGGTAAGGGCGTGTCTGAGGGTGGGGTGGGTAGCCCATCTGCCGGAGAGTCTGTCCAGCTGAGAAGGAAGGCCGTCTGTACAAAAGTCTTGGCTGTGGTTTAGCAGAGGCCTCCCGAGGCCTGGCGTTTCCTGGCCAGAGGAATGGGTGTGGGTGTACCTTGGGGAGGGGTCACCCCGTGACTGGGCCACTCTCTGGGACATGAAGGCCTTGGGCTCCCAGCTGAGTCTCTGCTCCTCTCAAGACGTGTCCATATTTCCAAACACTCCTTTAAGTCACCTCCACGGGCTCGGGCGCTAAGTGAAGGGGCCTCCTGCTGAAAGGAGTCTGTAGGTGGCATTTTGCTGGACATAGAAGAACTCTTTCTTTGAATTCCTTTTGGGACGTTGTTGGCATCAGTTCTGAGTTCGGTAACATCCAAAATGCATGTTTGTTTATTCACAGAAGTCTTGATAGAAGCAGATGTTCATGGACCCATCTTTCTAGATGCAGATGCTCACACAGACACACACATTAAAACAGCCAACGCCAAAAGCAGACGGGAGAGTGAGGGCAGTCTCGTGAGGCAGAGCCCATTTATCTTTCTACTTCGATCAGAGTCCAGGACCCCTGCAGCGAGGCTCCCACTGCAGTGGCCTTAGCACATGGCCTTCGGATGACCAGACCACCTGGGTTTGAACCCCTGATGAGCTTCATGAACATGAGCAAGTTACTTAACTTCCAGGAGCCTCAGTTTCCACATCTGTACGGTAGGCAGGAGAACAGCCCTCCACAGAAGGTAGTCGGGAGAGTGAAATGAACTGACACCCGTAAGGCAACAGCACAATGTCTGGTGCGGAGGAAGCATTCAGTAGGCGCTAGCTTTTCATTGTTGTTATTTCAAAACGTAAACAATTTAATGTTACCACTGGGCCCCACTGGCTTTAATAGAGATAGAATTTCTTAGTTAAATGAAACCTACTGTGGAGTCTGACTCAAGAATCTTTTTTTTTTAAAGATTGGCACCTGAGCTAACATCTGTTGCCAATATTTTTTTTTCTTCTTCTTCTTCCCAAAGCCCCCTAATAGGTAGTTGTCTATTCTGGTACGAGGTCCTTCTGGTTGTAGTCTGTGGGACGCCGCCTCAGCATGGCCTGATGAGTGGTGCTATGTCCACGCCCAGGATCCTCTCACCAAAGCAGAGTGTGCAAACTTAACCACTTGCCCATGGGGACGGCCCCTGACTCAAGAATCTTGAGGAGAGGCACATGTGGGATAATGTTTTGTTGCAAATACTGGTATTAGAGTGAGAAGAGCTGAGGCCAAATCCCAGTGCCCCACTTACTAGCTGTGTGACCTTGAGCAAGTTACTTTACCTCTCTGAGCCCCAGTTTCTTCCTCTGTAAAATGGAGGTAGGAGCCAGCCCAGTGGCCTAGTGGTTGGGTTGCCATACTCTGCTTCGGCGGCCTAGGGTTCAGGGGTTCAGATCCCAGGCACAGACCTACACACCAAGCCATGCTGTGGTGGCATCCCACGTACAAAGTGGAGGAAGATTGGCACAGATGTTAGCTCAGGGACAGTCTTCCCCAAGCAAAAAGAGGAAGACTGGCAACAGATGTTAGCTCAGGGCCAGTCTTCCTCACAAGAAAAAAAAAACCCAAAGAGGTAAAAACAACTATCTCATGGGGTTCATGAAGGGGGTTGAGTGGGAGAATGTATATCACAGTGTTTGTAACTTCTGAAATGCTCCGTCTCTACATGGAGTTGTTGCCGTAAGGTCCCTTTCTGCACTAATATTTTATAATTCTGAATCACTATGTTTGGCAATAAAAATGTTTAGATAAGAACCAAGTTGCTAAATTTATTAACTGGTGTTAGGGAGATAAGCGCTCTTGTATACTCTCCATTAAGCCAAGTTTGAATTTCGCGACTGTGCAGGTTATACTCGGTCACATTTTCTGCCTTAACCTAAAAGGATGCCCCGATGATGAATACCCTTAAGCTACAAGCTCGTCTTCTTCAGATCAATATTCATCTTCCTCTTTAAAGGGCATTTGCTGTTTCCAGTTAAATTGATGGCTGCAGCCTGAGCTTTTCTTTCTCTTTATATCTTTCCCAGGAAGTTAAATAAATGGGCAAAGCTAATGGGGGAGGGGGCAAAGGGCGGGCGGCGGGCTCTTCCAGCTGGGATTTATGGCTCAGATTCAGCCTCGGCCCTCCTGAGCTGCTGGAGCCCGAGGCATCTGTAGGCGGGCGCTGTGGAAATGCCGTCTCCTCCATCATCTGTAGGAGAAAGCCGATAGCATCTTATCTGCTGGGGTCAGGCTTTGAACAGGACTCCCGAATCAGGATGAGACTCAAGGGGCCCTGGGGATGTTGCTGCTGGCTGGGGAAGCCATTTAAGTGGAGTCTGCAAGAGGAGGGGCTCCTAACCTGGTTAGTGCAGACAAGAGCTGCTCAGAGCTGGGCAACAAAGAGCCGTGTCGTGGGTTCACCCAGCAGCCAGCCGGCCCAGAGGGAATTTACTCTGAGAATGGTGTGGGGCGAGGCAGTGCAGAAGTGACCTTTAATGCTGCTGAACTAGAAAGCTGGGATCTGTGGTCTGATTGTCTGAGACCTTGGAATGACCTTGGAATGGTCATTAGGGATAAGCCAGCAGCAGCCCCCGGTCACTGCCATCCGGCGTTGTGCTTCACAGCTCTGCCACCCGACAGTCCAATCTATGGCCACTCGGGATCCAACAATTCACTCAGCGTCACTTCCCTCCACAGCGAATTCCATGGTTAGTGCCCTGTGCCGTCCATCCCATGGCCAGCCCTTCCCTTGTCCATGCCTCTCCTCGGACACACTGCTTAGAAACTCTGGGGTTTTTATTTCCAGTACTCTGCATGCAGCTCTGCTTGGCTGGCCAACATCTCCTTCCTTGGACCTGCCAGACAACGTGGGCTCCAGGTCTGGGATTTGCCGGGGATTCACACGCACCCAAAAGTCTGCAGCTGGCTCTGCGCACAGAGCAGCCCGCACCTCTGCCAGGACTCAGACGTGGAAAGTCTGACCGTGCCGTGGACCTCCCCAGACTTTGGGCTCACCGCCCTTGCCGGCCAGCCAGTCCCTCTGCCTAATGGCGGTTTCACAGCCCAAATCTCAGTATTAACTTTAAACATATATGGAGCAGATTGGATGAATGTCACGGAAAATTTACCGAGCACCAGCCGGGTGATGGTTTTATGTGGCACTTGAGGGCCGCGTGTCTATCAAGAAGGGTTCCAAAGGCATTTCTTTAACTCCATAAATTAATTTAACGGGCAGCATGGTTATGTGGTTAATATTTAATGGTTCTGTGGCCTCGACAAGTTGAGGACTTTCATCTCACTAACAAGCGTGTGCTATGCTTGAGGGGCTTAGGTAACAATTTTGTAAGTGACTCCATTTACCCTCTTCCTGTGTGTGAAACACATGTTTGTGGTGTTTGTCTAGGGGATAAAATAAATACCCTGGGTGGGGGGCAGTGAGAGAGTGTTTGAGATTGATCAACCTGCCCTTGGCCACGTCGATGACGTTTATGTGGGTCTCATTTTCCTGGTGGGTGCGACTACAATTTTTTGCTGCCCAAAAAGCTGAGCTTGCTTCTATTATTCTGTCCAGGATAGACTTGCTTTCGGGGTCAATGGCTTTCTTGGTGGGAGGGATGAGGGGTTGGCTATAGTTGGACTGGACTGGGGGAGGGACTCCAAGCCCCACAAGGGGGTCAGCCCTGGAGGGGTAAGGGTCTCCCTACCCAGCCCTCCCCTTCTCCGGGACTCATTCATTTTTATCCCCACTTCCTCGATTCGAAAACTGAGGCTCTTACTTGTGGTGGTTCTTAGTCCCAGGTATTCTCGCTCCCACCATGGGGATTTTTCACCACGGCCCATCATTGGCTCTCACTTTATTAAAGAGAAAGGTTCATGTTGCAACTGAAACAGATTCCTGCCAGGAGTTCCAGGGGTCCGTGGCATGCTCCATCCTGGATACAGGGAGAGTAGCTTTGTTGTGGCCCTCGTTTGAAAGGTGGGTGTGGGCCCGGAGTGTTGCTGATGGGGGAGACTGAGGCAGAGAGCCAAGACTGGTCCGTTCATACCTCCCGAGTGGTCTGGACTCTGGGGAACCCAGTGGTAGAATCTCTCCGTCTCCTCTGGTCCAGACAGGAAAAGGAGTTGCCAGCCTGGGCAACTCAGAGGAGCCTTTCTCCTTTAAGGCCCTCAGAGGAGCCCCACTGCCCACCAGAACCTCCAAGCCGCTCAGCCGGACACCCTGAGGTGTGGTTCCACATGCTGCTCCGCCTCAGCTCCCACCCCCTCCTCCACCCCTGCAGTCCAGTCCACCGGGAACGCAGCTGTTCCCAACTAGCCAGACTGCCTTAGGCTTCCGCCCCTTGGCCTGTGCTGGTCCCTTTCCTGGGATGCATTCAGCTCCCATAGTGCCCCTCCCCGAAGTCCCCTGACTCCCCGGGGAAAGCTCACCATGCCTGCTCCTCTCTCCCCAGAAAACTCTGCACATGCCTCCATGCAGCACACTTGCCCTGCACAGGAGGGTAATTTCTGTGTGTCCGTCTTCTCCAGACCAGGAGCTCCTTGAGGACCACGTGTGTTATCTTTGTGTCTTCACTAACAAGCAGAGAGCCTGGCCCCTCGTGGGTGTCCAGCCAGTATCTGAGGACAGGATGCAAAGATCACACACAAGCAGAAGAAACCTCTGAGGAAGGTGACATGCCCCCAAGGCCCCGAGGTACTAGGATCCCTTGTGAAATGACTTAAGCTGCAACCTCGCATTAGACACTATTTCCATTTCAAAAGGATTTGCTGCTTACATCCTTCAAAAAGAGAACACATATGTTTGAAATAATCTGATTTACAGAATTTCGGTGACCCCCAGCTTCCTATTAAAGGTGGTGACCTAGGAGGAACAGGCCAGGCAGCATCAGCAGATGGGGGCTGAGAATAGGGGACCAGACGGACAGGACTCCAGCCCCCGGGCCGCACCCCCAGTCCCTCCAGAGTAGCTGGGTTTTTACCTTTGAGATTTCCATGGATTAGAAACCAAAATGATACTGCTAAAAATAAGAAAATGTTCGACCCCATGGAAAGAGCAGGATGCCCACGGTTGCTTTGCCAAATGCAGAACTTTGCTTTCTGTCCCGGGACCGACATTACCCAGGGTGGAGGGCTTTGCGGAGGGGGGTCGTTTCGAAGCAGGAGGTCTGAGCGGTCGGCCTGGGGCGCCCTCCCTGGCAGGTGCGCTTGAAGCACCAGGCTTGTCCTGCTGTATCTGGGTGGAGCTCTAGAGGCACTGCCACCCTCTGCCTTATCTAGATCTGCACCACCTGGAACGATGATGCGGTACCAAGTGGTGGCCCGTGTCCCTGGCCCCCCGATAATGCTCTTGCGGGGGCCACCAGCTGGAGCCCTCGGAGCAGTTTAGCACTGGGAAAGGGGACACTGGAAGGACTAGCTGAGGGCGGTCAAAAACCTGGATAGCTCTTCAGTGCCTCGTTCGCAGTCTCCCCCGGCACCCACTGCCCCCAGCCCACTCCCTTGCCCTGTTTCTCCAGATCTGCTCTCAGCTAGCTCGCCAGCCCCCTAGACCATGAGTGGCAGGGTTGGAAGGGACTGAAGTCAGCTCAGCAGACATTCTGCAGGGCCTGCGTGCTCTAGGCAGCCCACAGGGCAGTGGCCCCTCCCTAGATGCTGAGGGCTGTGAGGTCATGCCCATTCCAGCTGTTCTCCCACCTGGGACCTTCAGGACCCTCCGACCTCACCGGAGTCAGAGGCTTATTAGAAAGGCTCAGTCACGGTGATGATAGATCAGACACTGAATTCACTGATAATGGTGCTGCTTACAGTCCTGGAGCCACCGACTGTCAGACCCGGAAGAAATTAGGTTGTCTCCAGCCTGGATTTGTCCCAGCTGTGTTCTAGGGGCTGTCGATAGGAAAACCAGCTCCACGGTCAGAGACCTGTGGGCAATGCTGGAGGCAGTACAGACTGGTAGGTGAGACAGAGCGTAGGCTCCAAACTCAGATGGGCGGATTCAAAATCTTGCTACTTACTGGCTGTGTGGCCTTGGGAAATTACTTAGCCTCTCTGTGCTTTGGTTTCTTCTTCTGTAAAATTGAAATCATAGTCATACCCATCAGAGTTAATGTGATGATTAAATGATTCAATCCCCCAGGATGTCATTATTGTTAATAATTGCTGGCCTAAACAAAGCTTTCCAGGTTTCTTTCCTGCAAGACTTCTCAGAGCCTTTACTATGGTAAAGAACATGGTGATCTCCAAGATGGGGACCACCAAGGCACCATTTCGCATGTGCCCACAGAACTCATTTTTCCTCATCAAACAAGTGTTCCATGAGATAGTTTGCGATTCCAGAGTTAGTCTGTTTTATCCTAGAAGAAACAACCAGAGAGGTAAGTGAGCTGCCCAAAGTCACACAGCAAGTCTCTAACAGCAGAATTGGAACTGGAATTGAGGTCTTGTGACTCCCATTCCAGTGTTCTTTGTAGTCTGCATCGCGGCTTTCACCTAAAGAATAGTGACAAGGAAGACAATAGTGTCACAACTGAAATGGACTGCGTGTTTACTCAGGGCCAGGCACTGTGCTAGGCTCCTCATATTCATGACCTTACTTAACCTTCTAACTGGCAGGTGCCATATCCAATCCATTGTACTGAGTTCAGAGAGTACAAGTAATGCATTCAGCATCACACAGCCTTTGAGTGGTAGAGGCAGGACTTAAACCCACGTCTGCCGGCCCCGAGGCCCTGACTTAACCACCCCACGGCATGTATCATGAATGTCCAATGGCAGAATTTTAGGCCTGAGCTGGTGGGTGGTGCCCCTGAAAATGCCCATGTGTTGGCCCCCACCTGCTCCTCTCAGAAAGGCCGGGTCTGGGGGTTCCCCAGCTCTGGCAGCCGTCGCCAGCGCAGGCCTCGGGGACTGACTGCTTGGCACCTGGCTCTCCTGCCAAATGATTTTGGCCAGAGCGGGACTTGGCGGCAGCTCTGGTGGAAGCTGCTCCGAGCTGAGAGCCTCTTGTCAGCCTGAAATCGGGTCCAGCCCTCGATGCGGCTCTCCTCGGGGCTCCTCATTAAAGAAAGATGCCACGGTGGTTCAACCAAAGGCCTCTTTGTCTGAGGCTCTCACAGCCCACGCGTCCTCTGCCCCCAGAAGGCCGGTCTCTGTCGGCATGAAGGGCCCCTGTGTTCGCCGCTGGTGCTGGATGAGCCGTGGCCGGCCGGCGTCTGCTGGTGCTGAGCTGGGAGGGCGTGAGCGCTCTGGGCCGACTGGAAACCTGGCCTGCCTCCCTCCCCAAACCCCTTTCAGGGGGGTGACCCTGGCAGCGACTCTGCACACAGCCTGGGGCCCTGGTGATGGTTCCCTCCTGCCTCCTGCCCATCCTGGCCCATTAGTGCTTCCTCCTGAACCTTCCTGCTGCCCACCAGGAGCCCCTGCCCTGCACGTGCCTGATTTCCACTTCTCTTTCTGCCTCTGTTTCTGTTTCCCTCCCTGCATCTTTCTGTCTCTCTTCATCTCTCTGTATATCTGTTTCTTTTTTTCTTTTTTTTTTTTCTGCTTTATCGCCCCAAACCACACCCCCCAACCCGTACACAGTTGTTTATCTTAGTTGCTTGTCCTTCTAGTTGTGGGATGTGGGACGCCGCCTCAACATGGCCTAACGAGCGGTGCCATGTCCGCGCCCAGGATCCGAACCCTGGGCTGCCGCAGTGGAGCGCGCAAACTTAACCACTCGGCCACGGAGCCGGCCCCTCTTTTTTTTTTTTTGAGGAAGATTAGCCCTGAGCTAACTGCTGCCAATCCTCCTCTTTTTGCTGAGGAAGACTGGCCCTGAGCTAACATCCGTGCCCATCTTCCTCTATTTTATATGTGGGACGCCTGCCAGAGCATGGCTTGCCAAGCAGTGCCATGTCTGCACCCAGGATCCAAACCGGTGAACCCCGGGCTGCAGAGAAGCAGAATGTGCAAACTTTGCTGCGCCACCAGGCCAGCCCCTGTATATCTGTTTCTTTGTCTCTGTCTCTCTCAGTCTCTGTCTCGCCCCCTCCATCTCTCTGTCTCGGTCTCTCTCTGTGTCTCTCTCCCCCTCCATTTCTCTGTCTCTCCTTCTGCAGTTTTTCTTTTCCTTCTACCCTCTCTGGGGGAGCAAACAGCACCCCCAACGTCTGTTAAGCGAAAACTCAAGCACTTTGGGGCAGGTTCCACCCATCCTACTTTCTGAGCACCGGGCTTCATTCTGCCACTTACTTTATTGTGGTTCATCCCCCAGCAGCCTCAGGATCCTCATTGTAGACGGAGGCAACCGTGTCTACCTCCAGGACAAAATGGGGTGACACGTGTTCAGGTGAGCTCTTTCAGGGTGGCGGCCGTGTCTGGCTCATCCCTGTAACACCAGGGCACAGCCCGTGTCCTGCTCATGATGAGAGCTCCCCGTTTGCGGGGTGATTGAAGAGTCAAGGAGCCCAGGGCAGAGCCTGACACGTGGTGGCTCTCCTTACGAGTTAATCTCCCCTCTTTGTTTCCTGGCTATTCGTGCGGATGTGATCTGTTAGAGAGCCCCGGAAAGCCCGGCTCTGGGAGGAACAGCTGGGAGTGCAGTGTTGTCTTTCCTGTGCTGGTCGGGGCTTGTCTCGTCTTGCCCGGGTGTGGGTTTGGCATCAAGAAGGCCATCAGGGTATGTTGCCTAGTGTTCGATGCCATACTTGAATTGCTACCTGACCAGCTCAGAGAAGAAGTAAACTGTCGCTTCCCTCTTCCTCAACACTGTACTTTGTCAGTACAACCTAAGACCACGTGTGCTGTTTTTGCCCCATTATCCTGTCCCACTACTGTTGGATATTGGGCTTTGCACAGCCAAACCCTTATTCATGCATTCATTCGTTCATGTGAACAAATGCTTATTGAGTGTCTGCTCTGTGCCAGGGACCCTTCTAGGATCTGGGGACACAGCAGTTGACAGATGAAAGTCCCTGCCCACGTGGAGCTTACCATCTAGCAGGGTCTTCATCTGTAACGTGATCTGGTCATGAGGTTCCAGGGACTGCACCCACGGAGGCCCCAGCACACCTGGCACATTGGAGCCACCGGACCGGGTCATGGTTCCTGAAGCAGCCCCCAGTGAAGGGGCCTGGGGAGGCATGGGCATGTGACCTCCTCCTGTCCAGCTGACCACTGACCTGGAGCCTCCTTATCGGTGGCTCCTCACATCCCCACAGTCCCGGGGTTTCCTCTTCCTTCTGGCTGCAGCCCAGAGTTCTCTTGGCCCTGTTCCTCAGCCCTGCTTTAGCAGTGGCCTCTCCTGTCTGTTTGGACCAAAGGATCATTCCAGCGTTTTTTCTCCATACTAGAGAGCAGGGTTCACAGAGTTCCCTTTGAGAGCTCCCTTCTCCTGGCCTCAGCCACACCCGCGCCCCTCCATGTTAGACTGGGCCAGGTCCAGGGTCCCATGTGCCCCAGGCTGCAAGGTGTGGGTACGGTCGGTGTGCAGCAGGAACTCTGACCATCGTCTGACCCTAATCCCTCACTTTCCGGCAGCAGACTCTCAGCCCTCCCTGGATGACAGGCGCACAGCTGGCCCACAGCCCTGCCTGGACAGTTGTCCCCCATGGGATCCCCATCCCTGTCCTCTCCGCCCATCCGATCCTGTGAACCCCTCTAGCCTAGCTCATGCCAACTCTTCTAAGAAGTCTTTCTGTGCCCTTTACTTCTACTGCTCTTCCAGGCGTCCTCGCTTAGCCTACGTAAGGCCCTGTGAAAGCAGGCCCAGGCCGGCCCTCCCTCACTCAGGCACTCGGGCCACACCGACCTCAGTCAGCTTCTGGAACCACCATGCTTGATCTCTCCACCTACCTTGACCGATTAATTCTTACCCATCCTTCAGAGCTCAGCTTCAAAGAGTCTTTCCTAACCACTCTCTCACCCCGCCCCAATCTTCCTAGGTCGTATCCAACTCCATTATAGCACCATGCTGTTCTCGGTAGAAGTATTTAGTTTGTTGTTAAATGAGTAATTGTGCTGTCAGTATTTAGGGACTGTGAATATCTGCTGCAGCTGGAGTGTGGCTACTGGGAGACCAGACTGGTAGGATAAGACCTCAGATTGTCAGGCCAAGGATCTTGGACCCGTGCTGTGGGCAGGAGGGGATTCTTCCAGGATTCATGCAGAATTGCTAGGTCCTGAGGGCCCTGAGACCTAGGGTTCAGTGGTCACTGTTTTTTGTTTCACTGGCAGATTGTTTAGTTGTTTTACTGGCTAGTTGGCTGGTTGGTTGGATGAATTATTGGCTGGATGGTAGATAGGTTGCTTGGTTGACTGATTAGTTAGTTATTATTAGTTGACTAGTTGGTTAGTTGATTACTTGGCTGGTTGGTTAGTTGATGGGATGGATGGATGGATGGAGAGTTGTTTCATTAGTTAGCTGAGTAGTGATTTCATTGATCAGTTGTCTGGTTGGATGGGTGGGTGGCTGGTTGACTGTGTCTTCCACGGAACAGTGCTTGAGCCTGCCCATCACTGTTGGCCCAAGTTGACTCTGCTTTTGGTTTTTCTGTTCCCAGTTTCATCAGGCCTAATGCCTTTTCTTCCTGTCTCTCCTCAGGCACTCGTCCGGCTGCCTCCCCACATTTCCCAGTGTGATGAAGTCTTCCGGTTCTTTGAGGCCAGACCAGAGGATGTCAACCCTCCTAAAGAGTGAGTGGTAGCTCAGGCCTCTCCCATATGCTTGGGAGGTGTGGGCTAAGCTGAGGCCATCATGGAGAGGCCAGGATGTGGGGACATGTGTAGGGGGAGAGCTGGTAAGGAAAGATGGGCCAAAGAAACCAGGACCATTATTCCCCAGACTCTTATTGCCAAAACTTGCTCCTCATTTCCTTTACCCTGGGGCTGGCAAGTGAGGGTGTCTCTGCATTTGGGGAGCAGGTTTCCACATAAACTCTTTCTAGCTCCCAGGTTATTTTTTTTTTAAAGGTTTTATTTTTCCTTTTTTTCTCCCCAAAGCCCCCTGGTACACAGTTGTGTATTTTTAGTTGTGGGTCCTTCTAGTTGTGGCATGTGGGATGCCACCTCAGCATGGCCTGATGAGCAGTGCCATGTCTGCACCCAGGATTTGAACTGGTGAAACCCTGGGCCACTGAAGCAGAGCGCGCGAACCTAACCACTCGGCCACGGGGCCAGCCCCACTACCAGGTTATTTTAAGGAGCAGACGAGATAACAGAAAATGTAATGGTCATGCAATTCAGATTTTCGGGGTTAGCAGTCCTTGCTCTTGACTGTTGATGGTACCAGGCTCCCAGCTGAAATGCAGGGTTGGGGGGCAGGTGCTGCCCAGGCTGAAAACTCACCCACTGATTGACTCAGCAGTCCTCGGAGGCTACAGCAGATTCTATGATCATCATCAAAAATAACAATGACTGTACCTGGAGAGTTTACAACATGGCTTCCACCTATAACATTTTATGATAGACATTAGGATCCCTGTTTACAGAGGAGGAAACTGAGGCCCAGTAAGGTTAGGTGATTTTTTTCGAAGTCATACAGCTCGTTGGGTATGTGACAAAGGCGTGAGACTTGAACCCAAATCTCTGATTACTAGTGTCCCAGACCGGCTGATGTTTCCATGGTTGGAGAGAAATGGGGAACCAAGTAGGTCTTTTCTTCTCTCTGGAAGCAGGATGCTCTGGGCCCGGTGGTCAAGATGACCCACCCAGTCATGTGGGCTTCCCTCCTATGGCCGCCCTCTCTTGCTCAGAACACTTCCCTCACCTATACACCTCCAAGTAGGTTCTCAATGAAGAGAAAAATCCAGTGTCTACCCAGGAGCTGAGGAGCAGAAGAATACAGCCAGGGGAAGAGGGTTGGGTACAGGAGAGGACTTGAAGAGGATGCTAGTTGATCACCTCCCTCCATATCTCTGTTCCCCTGAAATATTAAAGTCCCAGGATGGGAGAGAGAGAGGCAGATGGGATTACTACAGAGGGAAAGAAGGAACAGTCCAGAGGAATTGTCTGGGACACATAGCGAGAGGCAGGGGACCATCTGGTGATGAGGAGGAGAAAGCCTGAATACAAGGGTATGCGTTGCACAGCTCCGGGGGCCTCATTCACACTGCAGTTTCTGTGAACGGTACCCACAGAGGTTGTCAAGTGCACAGCCTGCACACCCATACATGGCACTTATGCCTAAAGGGGCCCTTTTCTTTTCATCCGTGCTGTAAGTCTAAGAGCCTAAAATGTCCTGGGCCCTTTGAGGGAGGAAAAAGCATTATCCAGCTCAGAGGCTCACGTGGCCTAACAAAGGCCATCTCCCTTGCAGACTGCCACAGGCTTAAAAACAAGCAAATACCCCCAACCATCAGAAACTCGTTGATGACACGGTTCACAGGGGGAGCAGTTGGAAACCACAGGGGATGGGATGCCTGGTCTTGAGTCCACACCCCAACTCAGCTTACTAGCCACACAGCTCCAAGGCAGGTCACTCGAGGAGCTTCTCCAGGCCTCTCTTTTCCCATCTGTAACAAGGACATAGTGATTAATCCCTGCTCTTGCTCCGTCCAAGGATCGTCTGTGAGACTCAGATGACATGAGGGCTGGGCAAGAGCTCTGCAGACGACAAAATGAGATGCAGGGGTGTGTTCTCAGCAGAGGAGGGGCAGGGCTCTCACGCACCTACTGCGTGTGTGGCGGGCTCGTGAGAGAGGTTTGCACCAGGAGTTTTGTGTTCTTATCCCCACATCCCAGAAAGAAACAGGCTCACCTCCAGAGCTGGCACTTGAACGCAGAATTTCCTGATTTCAAACAGAGACCTATCCCCTTTCCACTCCTCCCGCCTGCCTCCCTGGTTTGAGGAGGAGTAGGGGACCAGGACCGTGGTCCTGACACCTCTCAGTGTGTCCTCTCTGTCGTCCCGTCTCAGTGCTCCCACCCTCACTCTGCCGGGGCAGGGGACGGCTCCTGAGCCTCCCCAGGGCCACACCTGGCCCTGCCCCTCCCCGGCTCTGATGGCCTCTCGGAGCCTTCTGTTCTCCTTCTGTCTATAGGGAGAGAGATGCCCCTCCCCAGGCAGGTTGTCATTGGAGTCATACGTGATCATGTGCCCACAGGAGGGGAGAGGGGTCCCTGGCTGGTAGATGAAGGAGGAGATGTGGCACCACAAAATCAACTGACCCCACCTTGGAGTCGTGCCTCTAAACCCCATTCTGCTAGTCAGCTAAATAAATGAGGCCTACCTCACGTGTCCTCCTGCACACTAATGGCAATAGGTTAGCCTTTTGCTCATCTCCAGAAGGCCCTCGAGGAATGGTGGAAACCAGCTCAGAGTTGTGCGTTGGTGAGGCAGCGGGCATGGCTTTGCGGGGCCAGGCTCTGGGGTCAGGGCCTGCCACTCAAGACTCTGTGATCTCTGACCATTGCTGGAGCTCTCTGCCTTTCTGCTTTCCCATCCCCCAAACGCCATAATGTGGAGCTCATGGAGTGGTCCCGAGGGCTCACGGAGGTTACGTGTGTACTGAGATAACCCCACCAGGTGCTGTGGGCACAGAGGAAGTGCTCAACGGTTTTGTTCCTGGAAGGTTGTGGAGTGGAGTGGAGTGGAATGTGGCTCAGTGCACGCTCCACCCTGCAGACCACAGCCTGCCTTTTGCAGGGAGGGCCTCCAAGTCTCCGTGTCAACCAGGGTCATCTGCCTTTTTCTTGAGGTGGTGCAGGTCACCTGGGCAGGTTCACAGCTGGTCTGGCAGAAGACGGCCTGAGAACAGGAATCTCTCTGGCATGAGACAGGCCTGAGGCTCAGGAAGTGGGGTCAGCTGCAGCCAGACAGTCATGAGGGCTTGTCCTCCCTGGTCCAGGTGCTGGCCCTGCTTGGCCCCCAGGACCCGCCAAGAGAGCCCTGTGTTCCCCTGCAGACTATGCTCGCCACGAATGAGCCCAGACCTGGAGGTGACCCTGGGCTGACAGGCTGACCATCTGTCTGCCCAGGGCTGGCACCCGCCGCACCTTCTCGCAGGCTGCAATACGCCTCCCCCTCCCCCTCCTCTTGAAACATAAACACGGGATCGAGTAGCCGAGTAACCGCGTATTTTGACTCCGGGGCGACGGTGGAGTGGCTTATCAAATTATCAAAGCCTGTGGATTTAATTGGAATTTTGCAGATAACCCCCGGCCTCTTTCAAGTGTGCTGCTGCAGGGGCCTTCGAGCGTCCGCAGGGGCCGGGGGGGCACCGTGCCCCTTTACATCTTGCAGGGAAGACGAGGCCTGCAGCTGCCCCACTTTGGTGGGGGAGGTGGGCAGCAGGCCTGAGCCCCTCGGCTTTGATCCCAGGCACTCCCTGGCCCCCGCGGGTGGAGAGCGGGGCCTCCCCTTTGGACTGCTGGCAGTTGCTTTGGGCCCCTGGCCCCGAACAGAGAGGGTGTTCCTTACAGACACCTTGGGCACCGGGCACAGAGCGCCTCCCCATGTGGCTGTCCCAGGAAGGTTGCTCACGTGCCCCGTCCTTGCTCCTCTGCTCACACTGGCCACCACGTGTTGCTGCCATGTGTGAGCAGTGCTGAGCTCCTCCAGGGCCCCTGGCTCAGGCCCCAGACCCTGGTGTTGTTCTGGATTCACTTCTTTCCTTCACACCCTTCCGTCCAACTCATCAGCACATCCTGTGGGCACTACCTTCGGAATACATCCAGGCTCTGACCACATCTCCCCACTTCCCCTGCTGCTCCCCCGGGCCAAGCCACTGTCACCTCTCACCTGGATGCTGGCCTCCTGGCTGGTCTGCTTGCATCGGCCCTTGCTCTCTAGGGTCCATTTTCTACACAGCAGAAGGTATGGTCATTTAAAGTATATGTCAGGTCATGTCACTCCTCTGCTCAAAATCCTCCATGCCCCCCACATCACTCAGAGTCTAGGCCCACTTGGCCTCCCCCCACCTCCCCCTGCCATGGCCCCTCCTGCCACTCCCCGCCTGCTCTGCTCCAGCCACACGGCCTGCCTGCTGCTTCTCCAACCTCCCAGCCATGTTCCTGCCTTGGGGCCTTTGCACTGGCTCCTCCCTCTGCTCCTTGGCCTGTTCCCACATCTCCTTCCAGTCTTGACGCAGGAGCTGCTCAGTGAGGCCGTCCCTGGCTCCCTGTGTGAAATCGCCCAGTGCTCGCTCTCCCCTTCCCGGCTTCTGTCTTTGCGGAACTTATCACTTCTTCACATGTAACTGGTTGTTGTCAGTCCTCCCACCAGAACTTGGCTCCAGGAGAGCAGGAGCCTGTCCCTGTTCCGTTCACACAGTGTCCCCAGAGCCCAGAGCAGCCTCGGGAGACATCTGCCAAATGAATGACAGAGGTCCCTCAGGTGTCGCTGTAGTCTTTCAGGGTGGGGAGACTGATGTGATTTTACAGAGATCAAGGCTCAGAGAGCGGGGGTTGCCCACCTGAGGTCACCCAGCTGTCAGGTGGCAGGGCCAGGATCCAGACTTGGGCAGGCTGGCGGCAAGAGAAGCTGGTGAGGACGCTTCTCAGCCTCTCCTGTGTGGACGCTGGGGCAGCCGTGTGGCTGGTATGGGGTTGGGAGAGCCCTGGTCACCAAATCCTGAAGG